AGGAACCACACCGAGGAGCTGCCGACATCGGGAGCTCAGGGGGGGTCTCTGCACAGTCTTCCACGCTCCCCTCACTGTGTGCTATTTATCTTCCCCCTTCCCTGGCTGTGCCCAGATTTTACCTGCGTATCTTAATTCTCATCTGTTTTCGCATAAGATACATTTTAGCCCTGCAGCATTGTGCTGCTATGACAACAGGGTTGCACTTCTGCTGCTTTCACACCCTTGTTTTTCTTGTATTAGGACTCTTCCCCTCATCTTACAGCTTTGCTGTAAAGACATTACTTCATCCTTTATTTTTTGGTTTTTTTTTAGCAAAATTTGTTATGCTGACTGCTTGCCCGTAAGTGTTGTTAGTACTGGAGCTGCCTAGAGAAGGTGGAAACCTACTATGTCTATTGGTAGGCCCACAGTTGCCTGCCTGTGTCCAGGCATTCAGAAGTAGTGAAAGTTTTAAAATGAAAATCCTTGTGTTAGCCAGGATTGTGACAGACCCAGCTTTCGGCTCTGCTGAACAACCAGAACCCACTTCCACCGACTTGGAAAATAATGGCTTAAGCATGCCATGTTTGCACAGCAGCACAGTGGGAAATACAGACAGGGGAACATAAATATGGTTATTTCCTCCATGAGTTTCCTCACATGTAGAAAATAAGTGAGGAAAGCTGGGAAGACTGTAGACAGCATGCAGGGACATAATAATTAAGGAGTAGAGAGAGAATTTAAACCCCCAACAAGTACGAAGTCTGTAAAATTTTGAAGTTAAACTGTTTTGTCCTGCAGAAAGAAGTTGTGCAGTTCTTAAATAAAAGTATCCTTAAAACAAAATATGCAATTTTACTATTTGCTTGCATGTTCAAATAGATATTTAATCAGTTTTCCAGATCCGTTGATGGCTAGTTTATATGAGAGAGGCAATGTGCAAGCACTGTCTGAAAATACGCAGTCAGAAGTTTCTTTAAATAAAATAAACCCTCATCTACAGATTTTCACAGAGGCAAACTGCAAATACAATCCTCTTCAGTAAAGCATGTTACATTTCAATCTCTTTTCATCTTTGGATCTTGTCATCTTAAGTGGAGTTTTTGCCAAAGAAATAATTAGTACTGTGTTATTGTTACAAACACAGTAACATAAAGGGAAGAGAGGATATTCTTCTGCAAGAAAAGGAAACCTTTCATTAAAAAATAAAAAGTCTTTTATAGTATAATGCAGTTAACTCACTGTAAGTATAGAGGAATGAACAGGCTCAAAAGAACGGGTGCCTCACATTCTGGCTAAATCAGAATATATTTTCTGGGACTCAAAAATCTGGCTAGACCTGCGTTTCCAGTGCTTCTGTATGCCTTCAACCTACCAAGTTTCTAGCTGCAAGTGGAAATACCACAATGAAATGGTGGGGGGCTGCTCTAACACTATTTATGTGGCATTTAGGCTTTGACTATTCCTACAAACTTTAAATCTGAGTCATCTGAACTTCTGCACGATGGTCCAAACCAAATAACCCAGTTACGCTTGTTTCTCCAAGTATTTCTTGGAAATACAGAGGTAAAAGCACACTTTATTCAGTTAAGCGTTTTTACTTCCTGTTTCTCTCTGGAAAGAGTGAAATATGGAGGAAGAAAGTCCTATACCAACAGCACAAGATGCCGGCTCAGCTACAGAGCAGGTTGAGCAGTGCGTAAAATTTCATTATTGTCCTCCCACAGCATCTCAAGTCTCAGGATGCATCTCTTGCATATCCAAGACTCTACGAAGGCTTTTTGTTGGATCATCTATTCAAGGCCAACGATTCAGGACATGATTAGGTTTCTGCCTTCCTTCTGTAAATGACTATGCCACCTTCAAACACAACATTGGGATGGAAGACCTAGAATGGTTTAAGCATTTATGGGGTGTTGCGAGAATGAAGGATAGAGATTTACACAAAATAACAATGAAAAATGTACTCGTCATCATCTCCAAGTCAAATCTATTATATAAAGCAGCCACACACCTCCCTGCTAATAAACAGTAGAGACCTTGTGTGGAGCAGCATGTACATTCAGAGAGGGCTGCTGCTGTCTTGTGCCAGCAGCGTTGCGCTGGCAGATGCATGCCATCAGTGGGGAGCCCTACAGCAGCTCCTGCTCCAGGAGTGCTGCTTGAGATCTACACCTGAGACAGCCATGAGGCTGAGCCCTTCTCTAAATGTCTTCCCAGCCAGCCAACAGGGTATCATTAATAGTGGTAACAGCGAGTTTCTTGGGCTGAAACATGCCCATGAGAAACTTGCAGTAAGCTGGACAGAGTATTTTAGAGATGCCATCAAAGAAGTTATTTCATTAACTAATTGATTAGGGTATTAATTAACTTTTGACAGTGCCAGCTACGTTCCAATTTCAACTGCTCAGACCCCAAAACTTTGTATTGCTTTACTAAGGAGACAGTGCTGGAAGATGACTTCTTCCTCTGCTGAAACCAGGGGAAATCTTCTCCTTCTGCTGCCACATGACTAAGGTAGCTGAAGCTGTTCAAGGCTCATTCCTTCCTCTCCCTGGCTGATGAGGTGGGATACAGCAGGTAAGAACTGTTGCAAGAGCAGCTGGTGCCTGCTTGGGGCAACAGTCCTCCTGGGTCTCCCATCCTCCTGCTAGTGGGTGGAGATGCAGCAACAACCACTCAGGAGGAGCTAGTGTTCGACCTGACCTCTCTTCTAAAGCAAAGCCTCTCCCCTGGGAAGGTCATCCTTCCCCAGGAACGGAAAGATAAGCAAATGCTGCTGTATAGCTTCTCTGCCCTGACTCTGCCTACACAGCCACATTTTCAGGAATGTAGGTGGGATTACTCAATGGTTTCACCTAGGACACTTATTTACAAGCACTGCACTTCGAGTTGGTTGGCTCTGGACTGGGGCTGGGGATGCCATTGCTCCTCTCTCCCCTTCACGCAACTGCACATATATAAAAAAACGTTGGTGGCCACCTTTCCCTTGGTGAGCCATGTTAATACAAAATGACGTAGCCCTGCATCACCACAGATGTAAGAATATTGGGAGATAGGAGTCCTCCCTCCTCTTTTCCTGTGCTTTGATCCATGGGGTGTCCACAGGGTTGGACAGGCAGCTGCCTGAGCCTGGCTTTGCCCACAAACAGAAAAATAATTAGGACAAAGGCCATAATTTGTTCTGCACAAGACATACTGGAATTAATTAGATAAGTAAAGAGTTGGGAATAATGCATCAAACACGCCTGACAATGTCGGATTAACAGTAAGAGTAAACAGTCAAATGGCAATGTTCATTACATCACTAAATGAAAAATAACCATTTTGTTAGCAAATTGTTTATTAAAAATGAGGAAGTGTTAAATACTGACAGAACTTTGTAAGTTGTAGTACTTCCGCTGATGAGATACATCTTATGCAGAAGTTCGCTTGCGGAAAGATTCTGAGTACCATTTATCTGTGTGCCACTATGCTATTGACAAAACTACAGATCTCTGGAGAAAGCGGTACAGAGAAAAAAATCCATTATCATTATTATCCTATGACTGAGTAAATGTGCACATACTGGATGCGAATGCAATTCATGGTACAAGAAAATGAAGGAATGAAAATCATCTCTCTGGAGTTTTCTCATTCGCCGGTAACATTTCTGTTACTGTACTTAATGAGTTGATGCTCATTAAATCTGTTTGCTCATTACCATTGGGTAATATGTCAAAAGGAAGACAAAATACCAAGTGGCTCTGTGTTATAGTTCTGTATGTACATACAGTGGAAATAAAATATAAATAAACCCACTGTAATAGTTATCTCCTTGTTTAGTAAAGAGTGAGGTCTCCCCAAAGTCTCTTACAATAGGTATTGCATCTATTTTCCCATTTTAGAAGAGACTCTCCCTAAAGCGATTAAAAGGAATTAACCCTGGCTTTTTGTGTGGGCTGACAGCTTGACATTCAGGGGTAAACAGAAAAAGCAAGCAGCAATGCTGAGTCTCTGGGGTTTCCACACGGCAACAGTGAGAACGTGCAGGACTGCGCTAGCCACACCTCTGGTTATTTGTAAATGTCCCTTTCTTTTTTTCCCGGGTGAACTTGACCCTCTTAATGGACATGTTTTGCATCTGTCCTCCCTGCTTTTCCTTCCAAGGCTGTGCTAAACTAGCAGGGTGTAAACTACAGTACCAGCTCAAAAAAAAAAATGCATATTTCCGACATGTTATGACATCTAGTACGGTGAGATGTCCTGTGAGATTGTGACTCGCACACTCTGAGCCGCTCAAGTGACAGGGAAAGACGCTGCCTGCTCTGACTAGTACCGGCAGCGCAGGCTGCACCATGCCTGCAACCTACAGCTGAGCTGCGTTTTAGTTCAGCTACAAAACCAGCATTTTCTGTGCTAGTGGGTTGGGAGCGGAGGGGGGGGAAATACTACCCGCTAAAAATAATCAGCTGAATTATGTCATTTGCCTTCATAAGCGGTGAGAAGGGGCTTTTGTGTGATCCCTCTCCAGGTAGAAGTGCAGCCCAGGCACAGCAGCAGCCCCCAAAAAGCGTTCTAGGCAGCTTGGCACCTTGGTACCTAACTGTTTTTGAAGTTTATCAAAGCCCGAGTCGCCCTAACTCAGTAACACGGCTGCAGGGCGAGTACAGAGGCACCGAAAAATCATTCTAGCCAGCAGCCTGCCCTTCTCGCTCACCCAAAGCGAGTCAAACCACAACAGGGGAAAAAGACTGAAAAAACAAGGGGGGGGGGGGGAGGGGAGGGGAAAGGGAAAGGCAGCGGAGCCCCCGGCGCTGGCATGGAGCGCTGAGCCGGCTGCCGGGACGGGCAGGCATCCCAACTGTTGCAGGGAGGTGACCGGGTATCCGCGGTGGCAGCACCCTCGGCACGGGTGGGTCCGTGAGCCCGGCAGTCCCAGGTAGGTGCAGAGAGAGGGCTCGGGAGTGGCGGGATGCGGGGAGCCGGGCCAGGCTCGGGGGTGGCGGTGCCCGGGGCCAAGAACCCGCCGCTGTTACCTTGAGGATGAGATCGGTGTGGTGCTGGTCCAACATGTTGGCCTTGCGGAAGGAGGTGATGATCACCCTGCCGTACCTTCCCGGCGTCTGCAGGTCGGAGTAGAGACGGTGCTTGGAGCGGTTCACCGGGAAGAGGCTGTCCACCAGGTTCCTCTCGATCTTGGCCAGGCTGTGCGTGGGGGCCAGGAGGTGCTCTACGCTCTCCTCCACCTGGTAGCGGCTGAAGCTGGCGCCCAGCAGAATTGAAATGAGCACGGGCGCCGAGGCGAAGAACACTGGGTGGCTGGCGACGAAGTGGCCAAGCCGGGAGAAAGACGTCCCCAGCCCCCTGTGCAAGACCTGCCGCAACATCCTAGTGCGGAGGGCGCGCAGGAGGGCGAGCGCCGCGCCGGGGCCCCCGCAGCTCCCCCACGGCCCCCGCAAGACCATGGGGCAGCCCCGCCGGGCGCCGCCTCACTGCCGGCAGCGGCAGCGGGGGGCCGGGGGCCGCCGCCGCGAGCGTGCGGTGTGCGCGGTGTGTGTGCGCGAGTGTGTGCACTCCCGCTTGGCTCCGTGAGCGGGGCGGCTCGGGCGCTCGTCCTCCCGCAACGCCGCCGTTCCCGGGAGGAGTTTCCAGCGCCTCGTTGCCTCACTTGCCAACCCGCCGCCCCTCGCCGCGGCCGCGGAGCGGCGGCGCGGACAGCAGGTGGGGGGGGCAGCCCCGCCGCCGCGGCCCCGCCGCCCCTCGCCGCGGGAAGGGGCAGGCGCCTCCGCTCCCCGCCCCCACCGCGGAGTTTGCGCGGGAGCGGGGCTGCCCGCAGACTGCTGACTAATCCCCCTGCCGCGGCAGGCGGGGCGGGCGCGGGAAGCCCTCCGCGGCGCCCCCGCCGCCTTCCGCACAGGGGCGCGGGGCCACGCCGGGCGGCGCCTACCACAGGGCGGCGGGGCGCAGCGCCGCGCCTCCCGCCGGGGCCGCCCCGCGGGCCGCGCTCGGGACGCGGCGGCGCGCCCCGCCCCGCCCGGCCCGGCTGCCGGCCGGCTCCGCCCGCCGCAGCCGCCGCGTGCACCGCCGCCCCCGGGACGGCCGGGTAGCGCAGGCTGCCCGTATCACCGACGGGGGAGCGGCAGGGGCCGCGGAGCGGCCGCCTCCCGTGGAGGGGCAGTTGGGTGTGTTTCGTGGGGGTCTTTGGCTCGGGGACTCGCCGCCAGAGACGTATGGGCGCTTCCCCCGGGGATAGCGCGGGGCCGCGGAGCGGGGTGCCCGACGGCGCGCCCCGCGCTCCCGCCGAGCAGCCTACCGCGGCGGCGGCTGCAGCGCGGTATAGCCCGCCGCCCCGCGCGGCCAGAGTGGGCATGTGCGAGCGCCGCACATGCCCATTAGGGAAGCCGGTAGCCGGCGGCGGGTCTGCCCCGGCTCGTCTCGCCGACCCCCGCAACCCGGCGTCGGCCCCAGAGCCGCCCGGTCTGCTCCGGCAGCGGCCCGCGCGCTAGCGCCGCCGCTTCTGCCAATGCGATGAGATGCGGTACAGTGCTGTGCGGTACCGGAGCGCACTGCCGCTCCCCTAAACACAAGCCGGCAACCCCGGCCACCACCTGTGCGTGGGTATATCTCGTCCCCGCGGGGTGCGATCGCTGGGGACGGTCTCATTCGTAAACGCAAATTGCAGTTTAATAACGGAAACGAGCGGCAGTGCTAGTGTGGGTCGTGTCAGTGGCCGTTGGCATAGGCGTGTACGTGGGCTCATGCCGCTGTCAGCTGGACCTTAGCTGTTGTTCGTTAAACTGAAGGTGCCGGTTTTGGGAGCCCATCTACCACCCGGGCCGGTGGTTTTACAAATCGGTAAAAAGGAAGTTTCTGTTTGACAGCTGTTACACGTGTTGCAGCTTGAAACAGCAGCAGCTCCCTGTTTTGATTATTGATAAGCTGGCAGTCATCCTTCCTTTTACATTTCAGTAGTGTCTGACCTAAGCTAATGTTTTGTCACAGATACTTCATGCACAAAACCTCCTTGACATCATTCCCGTCTCCTTGCTCGCAGCTGGGTCACCAGCTAGAATGCTAAACTCTTGTGTTTCATTGCTTCTACTGTGGTGACTGAATGGCTTGATTGAGTGGTCCCATTATGACCAGTAAGGTCCCCATGTTCCCTGGTTCTTCTGGGTTTTGTGCCCAAGCCCAGAAAATGCTCCTGGTAGTACTCTACCTGGAGGCTGCCATCTGGTGTGCCTGATCCAGGGATTCTGGGGTTTATCACATGATCATGCCTGCTGCTTGTGTCAGTCCTCAATCAGTTTAAGATTAAAAAAAAAATAAAAAATCATTTGTACATAGTTTGAAGAGAACCTCAGCAATGGAAATGGAAGTGGAAGCACAGACATCGGAGAGGAGCAGGGCCAAGTCTGGGTGAAGCTTGATACGAGGTGAGGCTGCCGAACCTGGGTCTCTTGCCTCCCAGTCCTGTGCTTTCCCCTCGCTGCCTGTTTCCAGCTGCACACCAGTCACAACACAGGCACAGACATGTTGCTGTGTATCAAGGAGAAACACCAGAATACGCAGAGTGCCTTATGTCATTAGCAACAAGTAAAGAGCTGCTGTCATTGCTGCTGACAGTATCACCTGTGCCATTTGTTTTTTTTTTTTTTCTCCATTAAACATTTTTTATCATTATTAAAAATGAAGGGGATTATTAGTTATTTCAGCAACCACCCAGTAGCTGACGCACAGGTCTCCAAGGTATCCCTGGAAAACTAGTTTGAGGACCTGACATTCAGCCCAGTTCCAAGCACGTTAACACTGTGTAAGCCAGAGGTAATATATCCATTTTGCAGGGGCAGAGAGGAAAGTCGATGTATCAGCAGCTCTGCTGGGTGTTCCTCTGTCTTCCCAGAGCAGAGTCTTATTTCTTGCCTACTGTAACCAGCATCAGACTGAGCTGTTAGCTGCAGTGGAAATGATTTCTTTCCAAAGGTAGTCATCGATTTTTATCTAACAGAAATTCTGCCTCCCTTTAGCCCAGGGAATTGGCCTGCCATTTTGCTGAGGGGAGTGCCTGAAGGGGAGGGATGTACATAAGTGGGATAGGCAGCTCAACATGCTACTGGAAACACAGCTCAGCAGCATGTGCTGTAACCACACTGAGAATGTTGCAACATCGCGAGCGTCTTGCGTGTGTTACCAAACCAAAGGCAAGACCTCCTATGTACTCCTGACTCTGCAGATAGTGAAATCGCCTTGTTACTGACCACTGCTGCTGTAGTATTCCAAAAATTTCTAAATTTCTGTCAAAATACATTCTGTGGTATTATGGTTGTCCAGAGTGGAGCAGCTGGAGGCCTCCTGCAGTACTCTGTGGAGAGCAAAGCATGGCTGAGATCTTACTTCTTTTGTAGGGGAAAGCTCTGGTGACTGCAGCTTTTGCCAGGATCACATGCCAGGCAATGTGTATCAACCTGTTGAGCACTAACCAGCTCTGACTGTCTTTTGGAGGAAATGGAAGGGTAGGATTTCCATCACTTATACGTGCTACTCTGCTACTGCTCTGAATGGCACTTTACAAAATAGATAATGATGTCTCATTGCTCTAGATTTTCCAAACTAAATGAAGAAGAGAATGATGGGAAGAGATGACCATACAATGAGGTGCAGATGCTGGGAAGAGGGATAATGAGGGGAGGGCAATATGATTATGTCCTTCGGAGTAAACACCTCAGGGCAGCTCCTTTTGGGGGCAAAGTGTTAAAGGGAGATAGGGAAGTCATAAAGAATGCATCTGCACAGGGTTCAAGGCTGCTCCCAAGAGCCAGCCTCTCTGCTATGAAACGTTTATTGACTCTCAGGCTCACACAAAGATAACACCTTGGCCCATGCTCAGGGGCTCTGGAGGCCAAACAGATCTGGTGCTTTGCATGAGGCCATGCTATCATTCCTGGGGTCTGCAAGGCCAGGGCGGGTCAAGCACCCCACAACCCAGGCCTCAGGGCTTTAGCTGTCTGCCAGCACAAACAGGATGCTTTGAGCATCCAGAAATGAGCATCTACCTATGCATCTGCTCAGATCTTGTTATGATGGCAAATCTTAAAACTAATGTGAGAGTAAGAATTGGACAAGGTTTTATTTAAACTATCCTCTTTCCCCTACCTCCCCAAAAGTGGTCTAATGAAAGAAAAAGCTGAAGTGATGGAGGAAAGGATTCCTGATGAGTAACTTCAGAAGAGTTTCCTAGGGGAAAAGAAAGGTGGCAGGAGCAGCTGGGATGGCTGTGGGAGGTATGCATAGAATAAGGATTTTGTGTTGTTTAGTTAGGCATGAGAAACCAGAGAAGATATTTTAGGAGTGTGTGCAGGGGATTTAGTGCCGCGAATGGGGAATGATCTTTGCCACAGCGCACTGAGCAATGTGTGATGTAGATTCCAGCTGGAGCTTGGAGAGAATGAGGTTACTCACAGTGAGGAGATGGGTAACAAAGACTTTGCTATTTTTTTTTTTTAAGAGATCTAAAAAGAAAAAAATCAAGGAGAGTTTAATAATTGTGGCTAGATTCTTAAGGGATGCAAATCCTTTTTCGGTGAAGTTCTCTGTGTTATGCTCATTTACACCTGCTGAAAGTCTGGCTGGTGACATCCAAAGATACTGTGCTTTGTGCCAAGGGAACAAAATGACAGGTAGCCAGCCCAGGATAGCTGGGGAGAGCAGTAGCTCTCATTGCATCACCCGACTGAGCTCCACTTTGTCTTTCTTGGCCTTAGAACTGGGACCTGGGCCAATGTCAGTTAAATGGGTTAGGGCACAGACAAGGTTAATGATAAAGTTAATCTCCCATTGCTGATTGGTGAGGGAACCTCAGACTTGTAGCTTTTGTCCATTTGCAGTTACAGAAAAGCAAAGCAGGAGGCCTCCTCCTTATTTCCAGCCTGCATCCCATCACAGTGGGAAGATTACCCACAAGTATCGCTCATTTCCCTGATACACGCAGCCCTTCTCTCACAAGGATGGCAATTTGCTCATGCTGAAAAGGCCTTTCTAGAAGCAACCATGGAAAGCAGTTAAACTATTGACTGCACTCGTTTCAGTGCAGTTAATAGTTTAACTAGTTGTTCTATTAGCTAATAGTTAATAGATAAAATATAATTTAATCAATGAAACTGTTCACTTTTATCTTTAAATCTTCTCAGTTCCACCTTCTCTTGGCTGGCAGAAAAGAGTGAGGCATCATGGGCACAAACATCATGATCACAGTTTGAGAACCTCAAAACTAAAGTGCTTTTTTAAACTCTAGAACCAGAAAAAACATAAATGAAATACAGGATCAAAGCAGAATTTTTAGCATGTGTGATCTTTCTCTGAACAAGTGCTTTGGGGCATGAAGGATGGGGCTATCTGAACAATAGCTGCCTTCTTAACTCAAAGTACAAAACATGAAGCAATACCCTGCTGAGGGATGGCCGCACATTTTGCATTCGGCTTCCACAGATTTTATTGCCAGAATTCAAGATGGCTGATTTCTTACCTCCTGAATCAGGCTACTGACAAAATCATTTGTGTTGGAATTTTTCCTTCAGCATATGTAAGCCCCTAGTGTTCACCAAACGGAATGGAAGAGAGAGGTAAAGCTGACAGAAAACTATGGCTGTGCCTGCTCTTTGGTGTTGCACTCCCTAGTGCCCTGACGTTCTGCCACCTGTCACAGGGCATACATACTCTAATTGGACTTGCTAATGCAGATCTTGGGAGAAGTCACAGGAACTGGAATGTCTTCTTTTTTTCATCAGCTAAAAGGAAAGAAACCCTTGCTCCTGCATGACAGCATCTCTTTCACAGCCTCTCTTGTAAAATATAAATATGTAAATGCTCCTTGCTGGCCTGTTCCTACTTTTGGAT